AAAAACACAAACTCGTGTCATTGAGTTCAACCGTTCGATACTTCTTTTTAAATATGTTTGGTAGTTAATTTTAACCAACAAATGATTGATGAGATTTATGTCTAATCCCTATGACACATTACATACGCAGGTTGTCATTTTCAGCACTACAATGTCTTCATCACAAAAGTGGTGCAATGAAAAGAAAGAGGAACAGAAGAAAATTGAAGCCTCAACAAGCAAAAATCGACAATTTTTTTTCAAAAGAAAACTGATCCAGAGCAGGATGTAGCAGGTGGAATGCCAATGGAAACAAACTTCTGTTTCTGAAACTGAAATTCTTGAAACATCTAATTTAGCTGAAGAGGAGACCAAAGAGAGAGAACCTCCTATAAAAATGTCCAGGAAGGAGACTGCATCATCTCCTCTAGGAAAAAAACAAACAAAAAAAACCTTCCCCAGTGGATTTCTTTCTTCATTCTCATGATTTGATAAAGGCTGGAATCTCCATGCGAATGTTCTGGGAATTCCATCCTTAACAGCCTACTCAGGACATCCCATTCAATGGAAACCTTGTTTACTTCAGAAGGTATACAAAGATCAAATATTAATAGAAAATGTTACTTACAATGACAAAAAGAAGACCCTGCACTGTTCAATTTGCCTTATGTATTGTGCAGAAAAATATCATCATACTCATTGGATTCAGGGTTGTAATGACTGGAGACATATTACAACATGACTCACCGAGCATGAGCAGTCCCAGTGCCATAAACTTGCTAGTGAAGCCTATATGATCAATATTAAAGGCAAATCGATCGAGCACAAACTTTCAGTTGACCAGCTTTCTACGAGGCACAACCAGGTACTTCAGCGCCATGCTGTTCTAAGCAACATTAATGTTTTTTTATTGGAATCCAAGCATTGCCATTCAGAGTCTGTAGCTGTCCGATGACCATCTTGAAAAATAGAGGAAATTTCTTGGAGATGGTGAAACTCCTTGCAGAATATAGCCCAGTCCTAATAGACCATTTGGTAAAAGTTACAGAAGTGGCCAAAAAACGTGACCCATCTCAAAAAGGGCGAGGAAAATGTATAACTTTTCTGAGCAAGTCCTCTATAACAATTGTTCACAATCATTGGAGATATGATAAAAGAAGACATTGTTAAGGAAGTTGACAATGCAGGGATGTTTTCAGTACAAATGGATTCTACTCAAGAAGTCTCTGCACATGACCAGTGTGCCAATGTTGTGCGATATGTTGTGGAAGATAAAGCTAAAGAGCGATTGGTATGCCTTCTGAATGTTGAGGACTCAAGCAGTAAGGGCTTATATGATTTGCTAAGAGATTCTTTGGCTGACATTGGACTGAATCTGGAGCAATGTATTGGTGATTCCTTTGATGGAGCTACTAACAGGAGTGGCACATATACAGAATTGCAAGCATTGATTAAAGAAGTGCGTTCTAGTCACATTCATACGTGTTGCTATGCTCATGTCCTAAATCTTGTTAAATGTCATGCAAGCAGTGAGTGCAAGCATTCCTGCAGTGAGTCTGTTTGGACTTCTTGGTAACGTGTCCACCTTTTTCTCTGAGTCCTACAAAAGGATTACAATTTCAGAAGACCAGCTGAAAGCCAAGACTGCAAGTGCTAAACTGAAAAGACTTGATAAAATTGGTACTACCAGGTGGTCAAGAAAGCCTGAGCCCTTCGAAAACTTTGGGGAACATATAAAAGCCACTCCGAGGAATTATATTCTGACCTCATCCTTGTTCTGAAGCATGTAAGTAGTTCATCTGATTTTAGAAATTCTGTTCATCATGAGGCTCTAAAACTAAATGAAACCCTATGTAAATTTGAAGCCGTCCTGGCAGCTTTTACATTTATAAGAATGTTTGACACTACTCACGTGTCAGATTACTTGCAATCACCAGCCCTTGACATTATGCAGGCATGACGAATGGTTGAGGATGCTGCAAACCGTTTATCAAAAATTTCAAGAGACTTTTTAGGAGTCTATGGATCTGCAACGATTTTCATTGATCACCTGAATGAAAAACTAGCTGTAGAGGACATTGCCATCAGTGAATCTTTCACAGAACTTAGATCAACAAGATGCGTAGTTCCTGCAAATCAGCAATACAGCTTTGAGGTTTCATGCTACAATGTCATCTGTGATACAGTTTTGTCACCCATGGCATGTTTAGGCCCTGGGGAGATAGCGCAGCTAAGCTGACAAGGGCACATGTATGAGTGTGGGGTTTGATGCGTGGGATTGGTTGGGTATGAATGTGTGGGTGGGATTATGTTCTGTGTGAGTTAGTGGGGGGTGGTCTTACCTCAGTGCCACTTGGGATTTGGGCCAGCAAACGTCCTCCTGCTCCTGTTTGTCCTGGGCCTGTCAGTTTTACCAGTTTGAGGGATGGATGTGGAGGCGATTTTGGTGTCCCTCAGGACTGCTGCAGCACTGGCTGGCAGCCGGCAACTTCGCAAGCAATTTTCTCACCTTAATTCAGGTATGGCTGCCGTGTGGGCCCCCCCACGGCCTAACTCCGCAATTTCGCCCACCAGCTAGGCTCACCTCATACACTTCTTGGGCCTGGCGGGCTCCAGCCTCACGGCGGGCATCCCCAGCTTAGCTCGCCCCGGCGATGGATCGCGAGCCGGGGCGGAGGACGGCGGGCTGCAACTTCCTGGCAGTGGATGGCCCCCCAGAAGCCTTCTAGGTCCCTGGGTCTAGGGCCCCATTGTTAAGTAGGCCCAGGAGGGCCACGCGGTGTACCAGTGTACCGCCGTTGGGTGTCGGGAGCCTTCTGTCAGTGAGGAAGGCTCCCGTGGGTCTGTCTCCCTGTCCCCTCTCCTCCCCCCCTTTAAATCTGGGCCTCCATCTTCCAGGGAGCCCAGTTAACTTCTTGCAGGGCCCCTTGGTCCTTCTCTTTTTGGTCCCTCTCCATCTCTTCTGGTTCCCCCCAAATCTCTCTCTCCTTTTCTGCCTTCTCCCCTCCTGGTCCTTTCCCTGTCCTGTATGGGTCCCCCCCTTCTATCCCTGGGCCCCCTCTCTTCTGCTGGGGGTAGAGGGGGCATTGCCACCTCCGGTCAGACCTCACCTCTCCACTGCTCTCTTCTCAGGACCTGCCTGCTGTTACTAGTCCTTCGGGTCCCGCGCTAGGGGGTTCCTAGATCAGTGGGAGCAGGGGGGTGGCGGTTAGTTGGGACGCCTCTATTGATGGTCAGCTTCAGTAAGTTTGGTCCCCTGCCCAGCTCCCTCCTGCGGTTCACTGGTCATGCACCCCTGGTAATATCCATTTAAGCTTTTGCATCGCGTTTCTCAACCCCTAAATGATTATGCTTTATGTGATAATGAATATGCACCTCCCAGTCTTAACATTCTCAGAAAGAAGCAGAGTATGGATGTAAATAAAATTATGCCCCCCCGGAAAAATTTCTGCGGACGCCCATGTATTAGGGTGTTCCGTTTGGGGCTCGAATTTCTGGGTATTGATGGCAGGGAGTTCGGGGGTCACTCATTTCGTATTGGGGCAGCTACTGAGGCCTCTAGACTTGGCATGCCAGCGCAGGTGGTCCAGAGAATTGGGAGGTAGGAGTCGGGGCGTTGTTCCCTATGTTTGCCCAGCTGGTTTCCTGACTATTTCTCTGCAGGTTCGGTTCCCCCCAGGATTTGGATCATGGTATACTCCTATGTCTATTTTGTGTTAATTATGGTCTTCCCCACCCATTTATAAATATGTAATTATATTATAATAAGTCACTGTATGTTGCCTATGATTTGACTCTTTGTAATAGTATTGAGTTTTCACAGCAATGTTAATGTAATGACCACATAGTCACCAATAGTTTATTGCATTGGCAGAGCCACCACTCCTTTAGACTAAAGGCTGGCATCCCTTATGGCCAGTACTTAAGAGCATGAAGGCATTGCTCCACAGTCTTGGCAACCCAAAAGAAGGCCAAAGAGATTCAGCTGAGATTTAAATCACAGGGCTATTCTAAGAGGCTATTCTAAGAGGATACTCAAAAGAGCGTACCAAAGAGCCATATCTATGGATAGACCAACAAGTCTATGTACTTTAAGACCCAAGTCATCCCAAAATACAATTCGTTGCATTGGTACTTTCGACCAATATTGGGAACCAGCTCAACATACTTCCCAAGAACTGGACAATTCTCAGACAATACCAACTTGCAAGAGAAATTAACAACAGCCCCCAGCTTAACTGCACAAAGACCAAGGAACTTTAAGGATATGGAAGATAGTGGGTTGTAGGTCGCGCCAAAAACATACAAAATAAAGAACCAAATATCTGAAGTGTAAAATAGTGATAAAAATAACACCATAAAAATTTAGTAAAATATAGTGAGAATATAATATGTACTTACATATATCAATACAATAAAATAGAAATAAGTCCTAAGGTGAACAAAATGGCCAGGTCCACTTGAAAAGCTGGAGGTTGGTAATAGTCCATGCAAATAGAGTTGAGGAGTAGTCTGTTATTCTTGTTCCAGATGGAAATATGCAAATAGAACGAAAAGAAAATCGAATAGTGCAGACTGCAGCTTGAGCTTCTTTAAAATTAAAGAGCCAAAACGAAAAGATATTGCACTCCCCTATTTAAGAGCTTGGACTAGCTCAGGTATGATTCGCACTCAGTGGTATTAGTCCCCCACTGATTGGATGTTGGTATTTATAGGCGGAGAAGGTCCTCAGAAGAGAGAGAGAGAGAGAGAGAGAGAGAGAGAGAGAGAGAGAGAGAAGAAATAACACAAATATAGTGCTCACTGTATTAATGTTTAAATGGAGAGAGATAAAAGTATGGAATACTCCCATTTGAGTGAGCAGAATGTACTGCTCGCTCTTTTTGGCGTAGGTGGTATAATCCCCACCTAGGATTCTTGAGCAAATAGGTAGTCATGTATACTAAATAACCAGGTCCGGAAATGAAAAAAGTAAATAGAAATAAAATAGAATAAAGGGTGTATGGCAAAATAGAAAATAGCCAATATTCCTTTATACATATATAAAATAGCCAAAAACGCGTTTCGCCACACAGGGCTTTATCAACTGGCATTTCAAAGACTTTGAATTGCCAGTTGATAAAGCCCTGTGTGGCGAAATGCGTTTTTGGCTATTTTATATATGTATAAATAAATAAATAAATAAAGGAATATTGGCTATTTTCTATTTTGCCATACACGGAAATAAATATTTCTCCATGTCCGCATTGGTATGGTGAACCCAAAGTGAGGCTTGAACCTCACTTTGGGTTCTTTGGTGGGATTTAATCTTAATACACAAGGGTGTCCTTGTGGTCTTGGCTATGTTGGCCAAACTTCAAGACTTAACTGTCCGCATTGGTGAACATAAAAAGTACCATTCGTACTAATAAGCGGCACATTCCCTTGGCCAAACATTTTATTGATTTTAGCCATTTGGTGGCTTAGTTGCGGTTCCAGGCCATAGAACGAGCGAAGACTCCTTATTTCGGTTGTTCCCTCACAGATTCGCTTACATGGGCTGAACTTCGGTGGATTTATCGTTTGGACACACTATTCCCTTATGGATTGAATGAAGATTGTGACTTCAGTCCCTTCAGGTGATACCGCTGGATCCTTGCAGGTGACATATAGGGTCTTTCTTCCCTTTTTCTTTCTACTTGTTCGCTTTGAGCATCATTGAGGGTGTTCCTCTAGTTTAACCTCTGCCTGTATTGTTTTATAATTCTATAGGTGTATTACAATATTTAATTTTTTTCATGCTTTTCTTTTTTGGTTTTTCACGTGTGGGCAACTCTCGGATGATATGATCTCTCCCACTATGATGTAGCCCCATGTAGCCAAGCGCAGCTAAGCGGAAAAAGGCCTTGACAGGGGTTAGGAGGCGGGCCTAGGAGGAAGTAAGCAAGGGAGTGGAGTTATGGGTAAGTGGGTTTGGTTATTTAAATGGGCAGCCATTTTAGTTAATTCATTCTAACTTCCTACCTGGTTAAGTTTGTGTTCGCTCCTGTGGGCACAGATTTGGCTTGGTAGGGCTTTTTCTTTTTTGTCTCCCTGCAGGGCCGATGGAGGAAGTGGAGCGACTGCTGGAGCGGATCCGGTCGGCGGCGAGGCACCAGGGGGCTGACTGGCTGAAGGCCCAGTTAGGCCCGGCCCTGGCGGCGGCGGCGGACCAGGACGGCGGCGGACGACGGCCTGTTCGGGCCAGGAGGCCTCCGGAGCGGCTAAGCCCGGGTGTGGGACCCGGTGAAGACATCCCTGGTGGTCCGGGAGGCTCCGGTGCGGGCGGCAGCAGGCCTGGCAGCCGCGTGGTAGAGGCCCCGCCTCCCCGCGAGCGGCCGGAGCCTAGGACTAGTGCCCGGCGCCGGGGGGACGGTCGGGACGGAGCCGTCGCGGCTGCCGGGTCGGACGTGGCCGGGCGGTCCCCTGGAGGAGCGGGCAGCATGGAGCTGCGGCCCGGGAGGGCGCACGCCCCGTCGGAGGCGGAGATCGGCGGGGCCGGGACCGGGAGGACACGTGGCCGGTTCCCGGCCCCAAAGGCAAGTGCAGGGGGCTCCGGCCGGGGCCCCCTTGGCGGGAAAAGTGCTGGGGGGGTCCTGACAGGAAGCGGAGGGCGGAGGGCCCAAGTTGGGGGTGGGAAGGCCTCCCAGGGACCGGGGGTGGTGGATGGGGAGGGCATAGGGGTCATAGGTGGGGGGAGTAGTGGTAGGGGTGGGGGGGCTGTGGGTGAGGAGGGACTGCTGGGCTCCCCTGGTAGGGGAAAGGGGGCCTCCTTGGATGCTGGGGCTAGGCCGGTGCGGGTAGGGTCGGGTAGGCCTGGTTTAGGGGTTGGGGGGGCCAGTCTAGTTGAGGGGGGTCTAGGTCCCCTTAGTCTGGGAGCCAGTTCAGGTGGGGGGTCAGGCTCTAGCCGGAGGGGGTCCGGTTCAGGGTCCGGTAGTGGTAGTCCCTCTCCGGTTCGGGAAGTGGAGCCACGGGGGAGGAGGGGGAGGAGGGGGAGGTCCCGGCAGCGCCGCTCCAGGTCAGGGAGCTCAGGAGAGAGCGGGTCTAGCGTTCCCAGGGGTGGTCGGCGGGGACGTATGCCCGGAGAAGACAGGAGGAGCCGTAGCCCTAGGGGCTCCCGCGCGCGGCGCGTGCAGGGGGCACAGCGGGAGGCTTTGGCAATGGGCAGGCGCTCCCAGGGTCGGGACGGGGGGGATGCGAATACTCAGTGCACCCTACCCAGGACTTCTTCTCCTCTTTCCAGGTCACGGAGCTGTTCCATATCGGCACGGGCAAGGCACCGGTTTGGCTCCCCGGTTGGCGAGGTATCGGCGGGAGTCGCTCTCCCTGGACATCGGGCAGTCGACGACGCAGCCCCTGCCGCGTCAGTTGCAGGGGGCTTGGCCGGTGAGTCTTGTGGGTCACTACACTCCAGTTCCTTAGTTAGCACACTGCAAGCACTGCTCCACTCGCTGGGGGCGGGGGGTGACACGGGGGGTGGCGTTGGTCGGGTTTGGGCCCCGGGGACGGAGGTCCCTGGTCCTAGTGGGGTTTCCGTGGGGCTTAGTTCGGGCGGGGACGTGGGGGTGGCGCCCGAGGCGATGGCGGCCGGGGGTGACAAGGCGGAACTGGCCGGGGGTATTCCGGATGCAGCGAGGCAGCACGCATACGTCTCGTTTGCGGGCCCCCTGGGGGTTCATCTGAAACAGGACGTGAAAGAGAAGCTCTGGAAAGGTGAGTTCTGCGAGATCTTCTCCCTGCTCCCCTTGGAGGACTTTATTGACCTCAAGGAGGAGGATAAAAAGGATGAAAAGAAGGAGGAGGAGGAGAAGAGGAAGCGGTATCGCAAGATTCCGAAATCCTTTGGCAACTGGTTACGGGCGTTTTGCGTGCTAGCCAGCGTGCTCGGGGAAAAATCGCCGGGATTATGCTCGTCCCTGTTCTGCTACCTGGACGGCATTTGGGAAGCATATCGCACCTATGGGGGGCTGGCATGGTGGCGATACGATGAACAGTTTAGGCAGCGACTGGCGGCTAACCCAGGGATGAGGTGGGATCAGATGGATCTGCCCCTCTGGATGAAGCTAATGATGGCCCAGAAGGCGCAGCCCTTTCCAAACTCGGCCGGCGCGAAGGGGCAGTCCGCCTCGTCGGCCGCTTTGCAAAAGGGCTTCTGCTGGCTCTACAATGAGGGCCAGTGCAAATGGGGAAACGCGTGTCGATTTAAGCATGAGTGCTCCGGTTGCGGGGGTGCTCATGGGCTCAATCGCTGTTTCAAAAAAGGGAAGGCGGGAACAGCCGGAGCGGCTGCCGGGGCCGGAGGGAATGCTTCCCCTGCCCCGGGGCTTCACGCCGGTGAGACTAGACGCGATGGAGCCGTGGCTAAGCCGCTACGGTAACAGGACTGATGCCTCGGTACTTAGGGAAGGCTTCGGGCGGGGTTTCTTTATTCCCTTCCGGGAGCGGGGGGTTCGGGGGGGTTGCGCAACCTGAAGTCGGTGGCGGATTTCCCGGGGGTGGTACGGGAGAAACTAGACAAGGAGGTTGCGCTGGGGCGGATGGCGGGCCCGTTTGCGGTGCCCCCATTGGAGGACCTACGGGTTTCCCCTCTTGGGGTGGTGCCAAAGAAGGAGCCGGGGAAATTCCGGCTCATTCACCACCTCTCCTACCCAAAAGGGGAGTCGGTGAATGACGGTATTGATAAGGACCTATGCTCGGTCTCGTATGCATCATTCGACCGGGTGGTCGAGCTGGTTAAACGGGCCGGGCATGGGGCACTTATGGCGAAAGTGGATATTGTGGCGGCGTTTCGGCTGCTGCCAGTCCACCCGGACTGCCACCACCTGTTGGGATGTTTTTTCGAGGGAAAATATTTCGTGGACTTGTGCCTCCCTATGGGCTGTTCTATTTCATGCTCCTATTTCGAGAAATTTAGTACTTTTCTCGAATGGGTGGTGCGGGTCGAGGCGGGGAACCGTTCGGTGGTGCACTACCTGGACGATTTCTTTTGCGTGGGGCCGGCTGCCTCCTCGGCATGCCAGCAACTGCTTAGGACCGTGGAATGGGTGGCGGGCCACTTTGGGGTGCCGCTGGCAGCGGATAAGACGGAGGGCCCGACGACGTGCCTTAGTTTCTTGGGGTTGGAAATAGATTCAATCTTGGGTGAATGCCGACTGCCTCGGGACAAGTTGGAGGGGCTCAAGGGGGCGGTAGCTGCGGTGACCGTTGCGCGCAAAGTTACGCTGCGGCAACTGCAGTCGCTAATAGGGATGCTGAACTTTGCATGCCGTGTAATTCCTATGGGGAGGGTTTTCAGCCGCAGCCTGGCGGCTGCTACGGCAGGAGTTCGATCCCCGTATCATTTCATACGGGTGTCAGCAACCATGAGGGCTGATTTGGGCGTGTGGGATGCCTTCCTGCAGGATTTCAACGGGACGGTGTTTTTCAGGCGGGCGGGTAAGTCGGCGACGGAGTTGGAGCTCTTCACGGATGCTTCAGGTAGTGTGGGCTTCGGGGCCTACTTTGGCGGGAGATGGTGCGCGGAGCGGTGGCCGGAGGCATGGGGGTCTAGCCCAGTCATGCGCAACCTGGCTTTTCTGGAATTATTCCCGTTGGTCGTTGCAATGGCACTATGGGGCGAGGGGCTCCGGGACCAGAAAGTGGTCTTTTTCTCGGACAACATGGCGGTGGTGCATGCGGTGAATAATCAATCGGCTGCCTCTAAGCCGGTGGTTAGGTTGCTGCGGCGCTTTGTGTTGATGTGTATGTCACGGAATGTTGTGTTTCGCGCGCGTCATGTCCCTGGGTACCTGAATGAGGTGGCTGACGCTCTGTCTCGTTTTCAGTGGTCCCGATTTTGGTCGATGGCGCCAGGAGCATTGAAGGAAGGGGAGGCTTGCCCGGACGAGATATGGCAGCTGGGAGCGTCCTGCTTGGGGGACTTGTGAAGGCTTCACTGGCACCGGCCACATGGGCCTCCTACAGTAAGGTCTGGGACTCTTGGGAACGATCATTAGACGGGTTGGAGCATGGCTTACGTGGGGATGCGCTGCGGGACGCTTTTCTATGGTACACCTGCCAATTGCTGGCAAAGGGGGCGTCCCCGGCAGTGGTCGACAGGTCCATGGCGGCAATGGCGTTCTGGTTCCGATGGCGCGGGTCGGAGGATCTGACTAAGACCTTCCTAGTACGGCAGGCGCTGAAGGGTTATCGAAAGGGCCGCAGGACCTGTGACTCTAGGCGCCCGGTGTCGGTACGGGTATTGGGGGATCTGGTGGGTCGGTTGCCGGAAATTTGTTTCA